TATACTTGGGAGCTTTTAGTATCATACCTTATGGTGGTGAATGAAGTAATAATAAATGGTAGTATAATGGTTCAGGAGGTATAGCTCAGTGGTAACTCAAGAGGCTAGTATGAGCAGGGGCCTCTGTATGTGTGTGTGTGTGTGTGTGTGTGTGTGTGTGTGTGTGTGTGTGTGTGTGTGTAATAAGTTTATTGGAACAATTTAGAAATACATAATGGTCACATTCATCTTAGGGAACTTGTACCTGTATATGATATATCTTGATTCTTTTTTTTCTCCATTCCTCTTCCCTCTCTACAACCCCTCTTCTTTTCCTCCTTATTGACAAAGCTTTGTTTCCATTTTTTCCTTCTTTTCACTTTTTCCCCCTTTCTTCCTTTTCCCCTCCTCCCTCCCTAGTTTGCCTTCCTATTTGAAAATTTTCCATGTCACAACATCTAGCATACATTTTAATATTTATTTACACTTTCAATTTCTCATACCAGTGAGACTGGTATTTACATTTGTATGTCTGATTTATTTCACTTAAGAATACGATCTCAAAGTGCATCCATTTACCTAGAAATGTCTCAAATTTACATTTCTTTATGGCTGAGTACTACTCCATTGTGTAAACAAAACAAAACATCTTTATCCATTCATTGGTTAATGACCATTTGAGCTGTTTCCAAGATTTATCTATTACCAACTGTACCACTATAAATATAGTAACTGGGTCAAATGGAACCTCTAGTTTTAGTTTTTTGAGGAATCTCCACAATGATTTCCACAGTGGTTGAACCATTCTACACCCCAGCAAAAGTAGAGAAAGGTTTCTTTTTCCCCATAACCTTGCTAGCATTTGTTATTGGTTGATTTTTTTTTTAACACTAACTATTCTTTCTGGAGTAAGATGGAATCACAGCATTGTTTTAATTTGCATCTTTCAAATGACTAGTATTGTTAAACATTTTTTCATATGTTTATTTAGTGTTTGTAGTTCTTCATCTGAGAAGTGTGTATTCATTTCAGATACCCATTTTTTGATTGGGTCTTTAAGTTTAGGTGCTATGGGTTTGTTTGGTTGGTTGGTTGGCTTTTGCATTTTTATTTATTTTAGAGCTTAGTACTTTGTCTGAGGAGCAACTGGCAAGAACTTTTTCCCACTATGAATTTTTTTCTTCATTCTGTTGGTGTTTTTTGTGTGCAAAAGCTTTTTAATAAGATGAGATTCCAGTTGTTGATTCTATGTGATAGTCCTTCTACACTCAGTGTTTTATTCATCAAGTCTTTGCCTGCACCAATGTCTTTAAAAGTTCTTTCTAGTTTGTCCTCTAGCAGACTTAGTGTTTCTGTACTAATTTTTAGGTGTTGGATCCATTTTTATTTTAATGTAGTACATGGTGAGAGATATGGGTCTAAGTTTAGTCTTCAGCATGTGGAAAGCATCATTTATTAAAGAGGCTATGTTTTTTTTTTTTTTCCAGTGAAGGTGTTTAGATCCTGTGTTAAACATGAGGTAGTTGAGGGCCAGGAAGATAGCTCAGTGGCCTAAGTGCCTGTCTGGGAAGCCAATAAGGCTCTGAATTCGATCCCCAATACCACATGCTGTGCCGGCCACTGAAACCCAGCCTGGTGATACACGCTTGTAATCCCAGCACTGGGGAGGCTGAGACAGGAGGATCACTATGAGGTTGAACTGCATAGTGAGACCCTATATCAAATAATTTTTTTTAAAGTGAGGTGGTTGAGTATGTTTGGAGTTTTTCTGCTTCTTCTAATCTGTTCCATTGATTCTTGTCTATTTTTTGCCAGTTTAATCATGTAGCTACATACAAAGTCAACCCTCAAAAATCAATAACAGTCCTGTACATAAATAACAAACTCATTGAGACAGAAATTAGAGAAACCACACCATTCACAATAGCATCCAAAAAAATGAAATACTTAGGAATCAATCTAACAGAAGAAGTAAAAGATCTTTGCACTAAAAACTACAGTACTCTAAAAAAGGAAATCAAAGAGGATATCAAAAAATGGAAAAATATCCTTTACTCTTGGGTAAGAAGAACCAATATAGGGAAAATGCTGTACTCCCAAAGCTGTTGCACAAATTTAATGCAATCTTGAGCAAAGTATCAATAGCATAGCTCACAGAACTAGAGAAAACATTCCTAAGCTTGGTTTGGAACCAGAAGAGACATACAATAGCAAAAATATTTCTGGACAATAAAGGCAAGGGAGAGAGTATCACAATCCCTTACTTGAAATTATATTTTAAAGCTACCGAAATAAAAGCAGCATGGTGTTCCCAATGCCTTTTAAATAAGGATTTAAAAAATTAGACATAGATTGAGTGAAAACAGAGCTATGGGGCTATCTTCACATTTATACAATAAGAAAAAACTAGGACCCAAAAAGGAAATTAAGAAATTATTAGAAAGGTAAGAAAAGTTCCCAAATGATATAGCTTTGTGAAATAAAAAGGACAAAAGAATATCAAAAGAAAAGAAATAGTAAAACGTAGCCAAATCTTGCAGAAAGGTTAAAGAATTGGGGTACAAGAAAAAAACATTAGATCTCACAACTAGCTGGATATTGATGGTCATTGAGAAAATATAACCTAGCAGCATGATGGAGTCAAAACAGTTTTTCAGGGAGACAAGAGTAGAGATCAGGATTAGCGAACTATAAGCCATAAATCAATTCTACCCACAGTCATTGTCTGATTTTGTATAGCCTTCAAGTCAAGAATAGCTTTTGCATTTCAAAATGTTTTAAACAGGGCCAGCCAGATAGCTCAGTGGACTAAAGTGCCTGCTTAGGCAGAGTACAGGGGCAGGGTTCCATCCCTGACATCATAAGATGTGCCAACCCCACCCCCCAGGGCACACTGAGACAGTGACTGAGACTGAGCTTGGTGGCACGAGCCTGTGATCCCAGCATTTGGGAGGCTGAAAAACAGGAAGAATCACTAAGTCTGATGTGTGTAGTGAGACCCTGTAGACCCTGTACTAAATACATTTTAAAAAAGTAAAAAGAGATGACAGATAGGAAAGTTGTTCAAAAGTAAAACTAGGCTCTGAACATTATTTTATTTTTACTAGTTTTAAACTGGAGATGAATAAGCAGATTTATAAGCCAAGGGGAACTAGTTAGTAAGTAGTCTAGAAAAAATAAAATCAAACATTTAATGGTACGCTCATTCATATAATTCTTTGCATCTGATTTTCCCTTTCTCAAACTTTTTAGATTTACAATAAAGGCCATTCAGTTTTATTTGAAATGATTACTTAATTCCTTCCTAGACATACCTAAGTTTTAGAGGAAAAAAAAAAACTGTATAAGCTAGCCTTTAGTCTCTCAAAATGTTTCTTACATTGAACTGTTTTGTCAAATTGGAGTTTTAACTTGACAATGATATTTACTTTGATTTTGAGAATAATGTCCCAAATTAGCTTCTATTTAAATGAATATATGCCAACATCTATATTTACGACATGAGAGATTTCTTGATTTTTTTTAGAAAAGGAGAATGTTTAAAACAATTGGAGTCATTGATAAAAATTTCTCCCTTTTTGTCTTTTGTGAAAGCTGCTTTACATGACAGTTGTTATGTTGAAATTATAACAGAAACTCATATGTTCATATTAATCCTTAATAATATTCAAAATAGGGCTGGCAAGATAGCAGTCTAAAGCACCTGCTTAAGAAACTTAGGCAAGCATGTAGGGGCCGCGGTTCAATCCCCAGCACCACATGCGGCCTAGCTCTGCTCCAGGGAAGGCTGAGCTGGCCACAAAAAAAAAAAAAAAAATGCAAAATAGAAATGATTTTGACATGATTGTGCACTATATTAAGTATGACTAAGAAATAATTATATATTCTCTGTTTTGTGGCTCAATGATCTGAATTCTTAAAATCTGCCTGTTTCTGGTCTTTTCTACGTTCCCATGAAAAATATATTCCCAAGATCTTTCCAGACAACTGTCCTGAGCCCTATCTCCTAGAATCCTAGTTTCTGACAGACAGCTAATGATTGGTTGTTCAGGTGTTGATGAATTCAGACCTCAAAAAGCAAGTTAGAAAGTAGAGGATACAAAAGACTTATCTATGTATGAATTCTCCAACTAAGAGCCACTCCCAGCAAAAACCACCTTTAGTTCCCTGATGCTATTTCTTTATAAAGTGTTCCTGCATGGGAAAACAAACAAACAAACAAAAAATCAAAACCCCACTTTTATTTTTAAGACTAATTTCCCAGCCCCTTCTCTTCATTTTTCCTACCCAAATTAATACTTTTTAAAAATTTTCTTGTCTATTCTTATTTATATGACACAACATAGATACTGTAGCCCATCAGAAAAATCTCTTTCCTTGCTCCACCCATTAATACAACCAAATCTGTTTAACTGAGTTTGTTGTAGCTCATGTCTTAAGGGGCTCAATAACCTGAAGTGTTACTATATTTTTAACATCTCTTTTAGATTTCAGATAATTTTTATTGAACTGCCATGCATAATTTATGCTTTGTTTATATCTCAACTCAGGCTCAAAGTATATCTGCAAACAATTTTGGGTTTCGGGGGGGTTTGTTTGTTTGTTTGTTTGTTTTGGTGGTACTGGGAATCAAACTCAGGACCTTGTGCTTGCTAGGCAGGTACCTAAGCTGCTGAGCTATCTCCCCAGCCCTACAAACAATTTTGATAAGAGAAATAATTACTTTTTTGAAGTTTTTGTTTTATTGTGCACAATTACAATTAGTAGAATATTTTCAAACCTTAAAATTTAATCACAAGTTTTACCTCTGTTGATAGTAACAGTGTCATTAAAAAGCAACAAAACTGATTTTCTTCAATGGTTTGTAAAACTAGTAACAGTCTCTCTAATAACAGTATCTCAAAGGATACACTGATCAATATTTTAGCAAAATTATAGTTATAACATTAAGATAAGCATAAAGCTTTGGGGTAAAACACTTCAGATATGTGATATTCATTTGGATGTGCAATTCAGATCCAGTATTTATTTTCATTCCTTTACATTTTTGGCCAGGTTTATTTATCAGTCATGTCTTTAGTGGTAATTCCCTAAGTTATAGCTGATTTTCATTTCCTGTTAGGGAGTAAAGAATGAGGAGCACATCCACTCCTATACAGGCATAGTGAATGAGCCCACCCCATGCCCGCTTTTCTGTGAAGTGTGGTGGCGCACATCTCTAATCCCATTACTCTGGGAAGCTGAATCAAGAGGATCACAAACACCAATCCAGCCTGTGCAGTCTGGCAACTTAGCCAGACCCCACCTCAAAATTAAAGATTGAAAATGAGCTGGGATATAGCTCAGTGCAAAGGCCCTGGATTCAAATTTTATTTTGTACTGGAAAACCAGAAAAGCTATTGTTACATAAAGAAATGCTTCTGTCAACTTGAATATACAATGTGGTTTTACTCTTTCCCTTCAGCTTACCTAGTCTTCGTCCAATATTGGATGTTAATTATTTGCCACTAACAGACATGAGGATAGCACGGACATTTTGTTTTACAAATGAAGGACAGGCATTATACTTGGTCTCCCCTACCGAAATTCAGCGGTTGACATACAGTCAAGAAATGTGTGATAATTTACAGGTAAAGTACATTTTTTTATATTGGACTAAAAAAATGACAAATGTCTAAAAGCTACACTGCTACCTGTATTGGGGTAGATGGCAAATGTGCCTCTTCTTGGTGTTTAAATGTATGCCCTTCATGTGACCCTACCAATTTCTTCATTGTGAGTCTTGGTCTTATTTCCTTCCCCTGTACTGAAGACCTATAGATCAATATCTGATAAAAATACAGATAGCCAAAGCTCATCTATATAGATTTTGACTTGGTATTCATGAGATGTGGCAGGCACATCTAAGTAATATCTTGTTTTTCCCCAAAATAAGACCTACACAGAAAATAATCAGCTTTGGAAACGAGACAAATAAAACACGAGCCCCAATCAGCCTGTCTTTGCCTTACCTGCCACTGCAGAGTAGCTAAGGAGCAAGAGAAAGGTGAGATATAATCTTCATGATAGTGGCCATCAACACGGTAACAACCAGCTAGGGCTTATTTTCCAGGTAGCTCTTATCTATAGCTTAATAAATTTAGAAAAAAAAAAAAGGTAACACTTCAGTATGTTATTCTTGGTTGTTGTAAAGTTTTTTTGTTTTTAGTTTTTTTCCTTTCAATTTGGTACAGGACATGCTAGGAGATTTGTTCACTCCCATAGAGACACCCGAGGCGCAAAATAGAGGATTTCTGAAGGGACTTTTTGGTGGAAGTGGGCAAACATTTGACAGAGAAGAGCTCTGTGAGTAAACTTCTGATTATAAGTGTCTGTCTGTCTCTCTCTTTCTTTTTCTTTTTCTCTCCTTCCTCCTCTCTCTCTTTCTCTGTAGTTTAATGTAACATGTTTTGAAATTTTAAACTAGGCATTATTGTGTTTGTCTTAAAGTTTGAACATACTGCTTTCTGTACCATGAAAATTATTTCCATTTGCCAAACATGAATAAAATTAGTATTAGGTAATAGTTTAACAAAAGTGATATGTGTAATTCAAACAAATAATGAACAAGTTAACAAATGTCTCATTTGTACGTAGAATATATCTACCTAGCAAGGTGAAGGCATTCAGTTATTAAAATCTGAAAAACAGTTTTTAGTGTGTCTGTCTGTTATCACTGTTGGGAAACAGATTATTCAAAGTGAAAGATTTATCAATGCCTGAAATAAACTACTCTAAAAATTTGCCAATGAGACCCTCATGAACAATAATCAAAAAGCTGAAGAAAAATACTAGGGAACATTTTAAGAAAGAAGATAACAATATGTTTTCCAGAATATGCCACATGATTTGGTCCTGCAGAGTAAAACTTTCTTCCTTTGAACTATTACCTATACAAAAAGATTTAGCTGTCATTGATATCATGAAATATTATTTGGCCATAAAAGAAAAATACTGATACATGCTACCACATGGATGAACTTCAGAAACATCACACAAAATCATCAGATCAGACAAAAAAAAAATCATGTATTATGTGATTCCATTCATATGAATGTCCAGAAAAGGCCAATCTGTGGAGACTGAAAGCAGCTCATGTTTTACTGAGGCTGGGATAAGAAAAGAATGGTGAGTGACTGCTAAGGATATGGATGTTTTTGTTGTAATGGAAATAGTTTTAAATCAGAAAGTGGTGATAGTTTTACAACTTTGTGACTATATTAACAACTAATGAGTTTAATACCTTTTTAAGAATAAACTTCATCATGTGTAATTAATCTCTGTAAGGCTCTTATTTTAAAAAAAAACTTATCAGTATGGTAGCATACTCCTCTATCCCAGCATTTAGGAAGCTGTAACTTCAAGGCTGTTGAGGAAGTTGTAACTTCAACTTGGAAGTTACACCTCTATCCCAGCATTTAGGAAGCTGTAACTTCAAGGCTGTTGAGGAAGTTGTAACTTCAACTTGGAAGTTACACCTCTATCCCAGCATTTAGGAAGCTGTAACTTCAACTTGGATTTTGTTTTTGTTTTTGTGAGCTCAAGACCAGCCAGCATGATACAGTAAGACACTATCTGAAAAAACAAAAACAAAAACAAAATCCAAGTTCTATCCCAGTGTTATTCAGTTAAGTTCACTGACTTTCTGGCAAGATAACTGGTTCAATAATTTATTTTTACTTTACTGAAGTGATTAAAACTGCTTTGTAGGTCATTGGGAAAAGTTTAGTCTTTTATGAAGTCACAAAATCTCAGTGTATATATATATTAATGTCCATTATTTGTATGCTGTGTTCCTATTACTCATACTCTATTATTTATGGAAAAAGAGAGCAAATCCGAGGCTTACAAAAACTGATATATCAAGATGAATGTAGAAGGTTGAAATAAAGAGGGAAAAATTAAGCAACATATCAGATCCTAAAGAGGGTAAAACTTGAGAGAGAATGCCAATTTAGCCATGTTAAGAAATGCAGATACTCTGTATTGTATGAAAACCACTCCATCCCAAATACACAAGTGCATGTAGTAATGGTATTTTTCTGAGTCTCTTTCTTAGGATTTTTCTGAATGCTAACATCTTCACATACATATGACAAGACCAAGTATGTCACTCTTCTAATAAGAATTGTGACAGTAAAATTTAAGTATTTTATTTTGGTGACGGTCTTGACTATTTGAATTATTTTGACAAAATGTTTTACATTGCTATGGCTTGAACTCCTAGTCGGGGAAGCCACTGCAGGAAAAGCATCCCGCAGCCTTGCACAGCACATCCCTGGACCAGGCAGCATAGAAGGAATGAAAGGTGCTGCTGGAGGGGTGATGGGGGAGCTGACCCGAGCCCGGATTGCACTGGACGAGAGAGGACAGAGGTTGGGAGAACTGGAAGAGAAGACTGCAGGCATGATGACCAGTGCAGAAGCATTTTCCAAACACGCACATGAGGTAAATTGCCTAAGTGAAGCTGGGCATGTTCAGACAGTCATAAATTTAAATATTTAAGCTCTGCACAAGAAAGCTTAAACAGAGATGCCACATGAATATAATGTTTGGCCGTCAGGATAAACTGAATGTCTTATAAATATTATAAATCTCCCCAGTTTGAGGAGATAATTTTTAAAGACAATGTATGAATACTTTTTTACCTTAGAATATAATTAAAATTATCCATTGGATCTGATAGGTTTGTCTGGAGTATCAGCTACACACAAGTGTATAGGTGGAATATGTGTGCTCCCCCAATCAGGGCTGGGATCCACATCTTCCATTTTGACTTAATCATTAAAAAAAACTCTATATAAAGTCTCTATAGTTTGATTGGGTGTGGATTCTTAAACCTTTCTCATATTTACTTTATTCTGTAAAATAAGACATCCTGTTTCATTATAAGTTTTGAGATTTAGTTAAGTATTATGATTAGCTCAATATGGGCTTGCTTTGAATAGCACTATTAGTGATGTTTGTAGCATTTGATGGTGACTATTTTTCTCTTTGCAGTTAATGCTGAAATATAAGGATAAGAAATGGTACCAATTCTAAACTTCTAAGGAAGCTGTGACTGCTTTGAGAAACCATTATTCAGGGAAACCAAATTTATTCCCAGCATCACTATTCAACTGCTAGAAGCCAGTTTCTTCTACAAAACGTTCCATTACAGTCCATCTGAAGTTATTGTAAAAGAGACTTATCAAAGATACTGTACAACCCAAAGGCTGGAAACCCTGGTTAAAATCCCAAGATAATGGCTGAATATGTCTTTTCCCGTGTGGAATGGAGCTATCATCTTGGCATGTGATTTGCTAAAGATTTACACTTAAAAACTACGGGGAGTCCTTTTGATTTGAAATTCCTGTACAAACAAAAGCATTAATGCACTTAATGAAAAAAATCTTTGCATGATAAATTAACAGCTTAAGAGGAAAAGAAAAAAGCATGTTGTGACAGAAGAAAAAGATTTATGGTAAATTATTTTTATAAATTGGGCCACACCCACAATTTAAAAAATCTGCATTAGAAAATATCAATGCATTTCAAACATATTTGCCATGTCCCACTTAAAAAAGCAAATGAAACAACAACCCAGAGTTTTCTTCTAATCTGTAACTTTCATTATACTTAGAACATTACTGAATTCTTATAGCAAGAGTCTGATTAATGTTCTTCTCTCTCCATTGTACTTAACACCATTCATAGTTCTCAGTCATAATCAGGTATTGCCAGTACAGTAAGTTATTCCCAACACAATTATTGCCATTTCTATCACCTTCAGAATGGGTTGCTATTTTTAGTCATTAAATCATGCAGGGTTTGGTCACTTTAACACATTTTTTTCAGCCTGGTTTGTACTCTGCAAGGAAGTTGGCTATAGATTTAAAGAACTACACTATTAAAACTAGACTATTAAAAGGCAGATAGCTTTGAGAACTGATTTCACGAAGAGTGAAATTTCATGCATCCTAATTTCAGTTTCTAAAATAGTATATTTTTAAAGCTCCATTTGTATCCATGTCTGTCAGTTACACAGTATATTACTGTTCAAACCCAGTAGGGTCTACAGCCCCAAGGTGCTTTTGCAGCCTGACATTCACAGACCAAACTGGTCATTCTCTTCAGTATGATTCAGTAAAACCTCAGCTAATGTATTGGGAAATGAATTCTGATTTATTACCTTTATGATTAATGAGGGCTTTTATTAAAAAATATTTTTGGTTCAATACTTATTAACAGAAAGATTTATAAAATCTTGGTGGTGTTTTGCTATTTTGGCTTAATTGTCATAAAAAACAGAAATACATAGTGTTTAATGATATAAAAATCAATAATTTTGTCATTAATAAGTCAACTAATACAACCTACTAAATTATATCAATAAATACCAAATACATATTCCTTATTTAAAATTCTCAAAAACAGAGCATCCCAAAAAATTATCTATCATAACAGAAAAGTACTAGAGACTGAAAAAATAAAGACAACTAGCATTATTTAACATGGTTTTGAATGTTAAAAATCATAAGAAAACATATATGTATTCTAGGACCCATCTTATAATATTTAGCTCCTTCAAAAAGAATTTTAATGTTATGGATTTAATTTATTGAATTTTCATTAATCAAGGTCTTATCGGATTTACATTTGAGTTTCTTAAAAATTCATCATTTTCCTAGAGTCTTAAGTTATTTTCATAACCAAAATTTGGGGAGGGGGCAAATTTTTTGTTCCTTTAAAATGTTTTCAGTAATTTTGAAAGCAGAAAAGGTGATTAAAAGAATAAGGAAAATGTGTGCTAGGCTAAGGTTTTGCAGAGTCCTTAAATTTGTCTAACTTCTTTAAAAAAAGAAAAACTGTTCATGAATTTTGCAGAATCTTATAATAGGTAACAGAATCTGGCTTGGAAATACATACATCACATATAAAATTATACAGTGCAAATATTACAAAAAGTTGAAGCCAGTTGTGATTTTTTTTTCTAAACAAACGTTGTATCATTTCTACACTTTTAAAAAATGATCTAGAAAAGTGAAAACTTGGTTTATTTTAAGAAGAATGACATTCAGCCCAAAGTAGTATTAAATTCAATAAATACCCTGGAGCCTGATATTATTTAACTTGTTGCTGGGGATATAGCTCAGTGGCACAATGTCTTGAGTTCAAGTCCCAGCACCAAAAAACACCCTCAAAATAAAGATTTAACTTATTCTAGGATGAGAGAATAAATAGCTCAGTGGTAAAGCATTTGCAAACTATGCACAAGGCCCTGGTTCTATTCCTAGCACTGTCAAAAATAAGGATTTAACTTGTTCTATATTAGGGTTTCTTGATAGCAGCACTGTTAGCTCAAAACTTTCTGTTGCGGGAGATTGTCCTGTGTATTGTAAAATGTTAGAATAATATCCTTGGCCTTTACCCACTAGTTGCCAGTAGAAACCCTGTGTAATGACAGTAAAAAATATTTGCCACGATTCCAAATTGCTCCCAATTGAAAGTCACTATTCATCTTATAAAGAAGCAGATTGTGAAATAGGTAAATATATCCTGAGTAAAACTGCACACAAGTGCATATTGTCAAGATAAATTTTAGACCCAGAATTACATGTGTAATTCATATGCAATAAAATACTATTTTGGAGAAAGCATTTATAAACCATTGAGAAAAAATATGATTGAACATTTTGAGTACACAGAGAAAATATCAAAAAAGTATATTATGCTCTTTGGAAAGAAAAGTGTTTAAATCTCTGGTTTTAATGAATAGACCAAAAGACTATTATTAGGTCATCACCTGGAAGTGGAGAGGTGCCTCTGAAATGCTTAAAAAGAATAGTTCCCCTAAGTGAATTAAATGTGCTTATAAAATTGCTTTTACATTTTTGATGTAAAGGTAACTTCATCCCACAAACTTCTGATAAGTGAAATCCAAATTAAAGAGGTTTTACTGTATCAAAATTATTTTTGTAATTCAAAGAGATAGCAATAACAAGAATCTAATGTGATTTTTCTCTTTGAATATTTCCATTCTATTGCACTAACCTTAACATACATTCACACATTACACACACAGAGACATATATACACACAGTCACCACCACCATCACCATTTTTATCGTCATCATCTTTGGAAAACAAGTACTGTTGATCCATGCAATCCTTTGCATTGTCTCATATTTTCTCTATCTTGGAACATATAAAAAAAAAATCTCCTGGTAGCCTTGACATTGATGCAGGTGATGACCCTGAACCTTGGTTATCTTAAAAATTACATTATAGTGGCTAAGGTGGCGTTAGTAGATAAGGCTTGCAAGCTACAATATTGACAAGTTAACCTTACCTCCTTATGACTCCTTTCATAGATAAGCCCTTTTTAGTGTTCCAGCAGAAAATTACCTTTCCTTTTTTTAATTATTGAGAATCTAAACTATTTGTTATAATAACAATGTGAGCAATATTATTATTTGTCCTAATAATAATGTGAGAAATGTAAAATCCTCTATGTTGGTGTCTAGAGCAGAATGATTGAGTTATCATTTATGTTAATCCCCTACAAAAGCAATACTACTAACTTTTGCTTCCTATACTTCATTAAGTCAGTGGCCATACCACCCTACACGTGCCTGATCTCATCTGAAACCAAGCAGGGTTGGGGCTGGTTAGTACTTGGAGGCGAATCTTAGATTTTATTAAGGCCTAGATATAGTGTCTTCATCACAACCAAGGCCATTGTCCACCTTTAGTTTTAGATGGACAGTAACAGAATTGAATGATATATGTTCCAGCATTTCAATCTACTTTAGAGACAATTTTTCAAATCTTTTGGAATTGAGTCTATGTAAATCAAAGTGAGGATCCTTATCTCTCAAGTTTTAAAGGGATTTTAAAAGTCTCCTGTTTATATGCCTTCATATGCAGTTTTAAAGGTACTAGCTATCCATTATCTATGTGACTTTGAGAGGAAAAAAGGAATAACATTAAGCCTAAGATTAGCTGAGGAAGATTAAGGTAGATTCTTGAGGTACGCAGCTATAAAATATTTGGACAGATGGGGAAATTAAGTACATCTGGAAAAAGTAAACAAAAAATCTTCTCCTTGATTTAAGATTATTGAAACACCCTGGGAATATATCTGTATGATTACAGCCTACCCACATATGGAATAAACACTGTACCCTGACCACATTATTCAGAAAAGACCATGCCAAAGCAAGGTAGCCCAGCATATAAAGTCTTGCTCTCTACCTAGGAGAAGTGTAACCTTCACAGCTTCTTCACTGAACCTCTTCATCATCCAGCCCCACTTTTGGCTGGGTACTATTTCATGTGTACACTGCTCCAAGTGCTAGAAATATTTGTCATGAACTTAGATTGAGCATTACCTATAATATGCACCAATCCAGGGAGCATCGTTGTCAGCTGTCACATGTTGTATGTGTGTTTGCAAACCACATATGCCTGAACAGAAGAAATGCAAAATAGATAAAGTCTGACTTGGGAAGGGAGAGGAAGTGCCAGTATGCAAGAGACTTTGACTTGGAAGCACAGATACCTTTAATTGCATATCTATCTAGAGGACTGATTCTCTAGATAAATATGTACATAACAATGTATTGTCTGTGCATAACAATCACTTGAGATTTTAAAATTCCCAATTATATCAAAATTCCTTAGAGTGGGAACCAGACTTCAGTCTTTTTGAAAGCCTCCAAAGTGGTACCAATGTCTAGCCAAAGTTTCTAACTACTGCTTTGTGGCCAACTAAGGAAGACATATTTGTTTACCTTGGCTGGTGTCCTGGGCTAAGGGAAGGCAAAATGCAGTGATACAGTTTTGACTGGATTTGTATTTATTCTGTGCCTCTCATAGAACAAAAGCCTGAGTCAGTCTGTCAGCAGTAAGCTCCCTCATTAACACTGAGTACTCTGTGACGTTCTCATATATGAATTGCCCAGTAATTATTTGAACAACTTATACATTTTTGTTGTCTTTTGCATGTGACATCATAAGATACAGAAATACATCTAAAAATAAAATCAACAGCATAGAAAGCTAATTGGAAAACTAATTATCAAAATTTGAATAGTGGAAACTTTCAAAAATAATTATTTACTTAATTAGGTCCAAATTTAGTAGTCATTCTTCTTTTGGAGGTGACATGGGTGCCAGGTACCTGTTCTGTTATGAATATATTTTATTGGACTAGGTATTAACAAAAAGAACTCGTCTTTTTTTGTTGTTGCTTTAGTCAAAGCTCGCAGAGACACTTAGATTCATTTTCTCTGTTATTGGCTAGGTATTTACAGAGAAAGATGCCTAGAATTTGCTATCTGACCTCCAGTGCCCTGAAAGAGTGCTTACACCTTCACAGAGGGGGAGTTGGCCTACCAAAGGCGGCAACACACAGTGACAAAAAAATTCTGAG